ATAATATCAGGCACAAAAGGATACATTTCCACTTCATTTTTCCTTGGTAGCAAATATATAGCACATAGCGTAGAGGGATAGTTTCATAAAACTAGCCAAAGTTCATACATTCATAAGCTATAGTGTGGAAGTGATTGGCACATTTTTTGAATCCTGTTAAATAAACTGCACAGTCCCTGGGCATATCCTTCTGATCCAATAAACATAGACCCGATTAGAAAGCACACACCATCAGATTTGTATTGAGTGAGACGAGCCAGAGAATTAAAATTCACAATTGATGTTTTAAACCCTGTACATTTACTCTTCAGGTGTTGTATTTCCAGTTTAGGATAAAATGTACTCTAGGAATTCACATGAATCAAATAGTAATGGATTAGGTGTGGATGGGTTTGGGAGGAAGGGAAAAAGGACCCTAAACTGTGAAAAATATGGGGAGTCAGTACTTAGGGGGGGAAATGGTCATCAAGAATGGCAATATCACAAGTGATTTTTCCCTCTCCCAGTGCAGTAGCATGGTATAAGGAGTCCTGATGGCATAGTGGGTTATGCACTGGGCCTGCTAAACATAAGGTCAGCAGTTTGAAACCACCAGTTGCTTGGCGGGAGACAGATGAAGCTGTCTACTCCAGTAAAGAGTTTACAGTCTTGGAAACCCACAAGGAGCACATCTACCCTGTCCTATAGGGTCTCTAAGAGTTGGAATTTATTTCATGACAGTGAGAGTAAGCTTATTGTAGCATGTGATTCTTATGGGTTGCACTGAGACCCAGAGACTAGTGCTCTCTCTAGAGAGTAGTAGAAAGCCTTGATTGAAAGAGAGAGAAAGCATGTGGTTCATGTGAACCAGGAAACCTTTGACCAAAGCAAAGCTGGCCTGCAGGGTTTGGGGCAGCATGCCAAGCACAGGGTCTCACCGTAGGCACAGTTCCTCCCCTCGTAGCCACTGGAGCAGTAGCAGGTATAACTGCGGATGTTGTCTTGGCATGATCCATTGTTCAGGCAGGGTTGGGAGAGACACTGGGTGCCACCTGTGGGAAGATCAACAGGTGGGAGATGAAAATTTATGGCTGGTGATGAATTAGAGTGAAGGAAACAATGATTTCCACTTCTGCCAATAGACCCCTAGCTCATTCCATGACCCTGCAGACCACACACCCTATGCTTCCAGGAATCCAGGATGCTGAGGTGTGCCTGGCACACAGGAAAGGGGCACAGTTCCTGGTTACTGAGGTGCTGTCCTGGAGTGGCTGGATGATGATGTCTGGATCCATGGACCCTCAGGTATCCTTCATTAGCAGATTTTGTTCTCCACAAGACCCTTTTCTTAATCTTTTCTCCCTTTCTTTAACCTGACTTTCTATGTCAGTTATATAATCTCCTGTCAACTTGAGCGAAGGGGTAAGTCTAGCTTGATGACCTGACTTGGAGGTGCAATAGAGAGGCCAGACGCAGTCTCTCTGCCTTCCCTTTCCTGCTGTTGAGACACTCAGAGAGCTGGAGGAGACCCGTGGAGACCCGTGCCAGCGCTGAGATGCTTCCACTGCCACTGGATCCACAAGACCTTCTACCTACCTACTGGCCTGTGATCTTCCTGCATTCAGCATCATTGCATGTGCTACATGAGTCTAAAGAGGAATTTATGAACTAGTATCAGACATATGGGCTAATATCGGACTATGGACTTGATCTGGACTAACCTGGGATGTTTTCTCAATATATAATTGCTCTTTTATATAAAGCTGTCTCTTACACACATATGAGTGTCTATGAATTTGTTTCTCTAGGCTACCCGGACTAACACACCTTCTTTTTCTTATTGACAAACCCCATGGTTGCTTGATAACTACTTAAGCTATTTTGCCACTAATTTCAAGGCAGAGATTTGCTTTGGTCCATTTCCCCCTCCTAACACTCTTATGTTTTCTCTAACCCTACACTCTTGTTGTCAGTTTCTGTCTAATCAATTCTGGCTCATGGTGTACCAGGTGTGCAGAGCAGAACTTCTCCACAAGGTCTTCAAGATGATCAGGTCATCAGGCCTGTCTTTCAGGAGTCTCTGGGTGGGTTTGAACTACCAACCTTTCACCTAGTGCTGTTGTTACATTGTTCTTCTAATGCATACCAACTCTATGCACAACATAACAAAACACTGCACGGCCCTGAGTCATCCTCACAGTTGCTCCTATGCCTGAGCCCACCGTTGCGTCTACAATTATATATGTCAATTCATTTCACTGAGAGGCTTCCCTTTCTTTGCTGCTCCTCCACTTTACCAAGCACGATGCCCTTCTCCAGGGACTGGTCTCTCCTGCCAACATGTCCAAAGTCTGTCAGATGAAGTCTTGCCATCCTTATCTCAAGGAGCACTCTGGCAGTACTTCTTCCAAGACAGATCAGTTTATCCTTTTGGCAGTCATGGTAGCAATATGTTGAATATTCTTCTCCAACACAATTCAAATACATCACGTTTTCTTTGGTCTTCCTTATTCAATGTCCATCTTTCACATTCTTCTTGTAGTTGGACGGTTATCCATTTGTGTCACCTGGGACACCTCACTCCAGTCGGCCATTTCCCAAAAGTTCATTCCTGAGGAATGCCCAAGAATTCCTCAAAGCAATGTAATCTAAAGGTGGGTCATTGCTTTTCAAATTAAAAATATCTCAAACCATTTCTTAAAAATAAACCTTACCAGACAACCCACAAGGCAATGCACATAAAAGCAATTGAGTAAGGAAGTAGGACCTTCCTTACTCCTCCCTTATCCAAAGCAGCCCCACAAGTTCTCTGGGATTTTTAAGATTCTGGGAGCACTTTTGAAAACAATTCCTTTAGGTGACTTGTCGGGATATGCTTGAGGCACTCCTAAAAAAAGGAAGATTTCGGATTCATTTTCTCATGAAGGACTCATTCCAGGGCCCTTGGGGTTATGGCTATAATTCCAGATGCCACCACAGTTTGAAATCCACCGGCCTAAGGCTATAAAGAAGGACCAAAAGAGGAATCCATGCATTTGAATTATGGTGCTGGCAAAGAGTATTGAAAGTACTACGGATGCCCTAAAGAAGAAACAAATCTTTCATGGAAGAGGTACAGCCAGATTGCTCCTTCGAAGCCAGGATGACGAGACTGTCTGACATACTTTGGATATGTTACCAGGAGCGACCGGTTCCTGGAGAAGAAGATGGTGCTTGTTAAAGTTCAGGGGCAGTGAGAAAGAGGAAGATTCTCCACAGATGGAGTGACACGGTGGCTGCAACAATGAGCTGAAACATACGAACAATTGTGAGGCTGGCCCTGGACTGGGCAGTGTTTTGTTCCGCTGGACGCACGAGTGGAGCCAATGCAATGACGCTTAACAACAGCAGCAGCAGAGTGTTAAGAGGTCTTAAGCTGACTTTCAAGGGAAAAGTATCAGAAATAATACAGAAAAGAGAAATGAAAGAAAGTCACTTACCCATATACCCTTCCCAAAATGTCTCCTGTAAAATGAAAACATAAAAATGTTACAAAGGAGATGTTTTCTCCACTGTATTTTCCCCTCCAGAATACCTTCAAAATAAGAAAGTGTTGCTCTTACTCACTGAATAGAAAAATATCCATCTAACCAAATAATGCAAAATTCTTCATATGTATTTAGAGCATATTTTATATAAATTATTTAAAGATGAGTAAACAATCTGGCAGTGGACGCAAACATCATTACCCCACTGTCTTAAATGTTATCCTTTCCTCCTCCAAGGGAACAGCAAATCTTCAGGGCTGAAGGTTTTGTTTTTATTTTCCTGTTTTTTGTTTTTAAAAAAATCATTTTATTGGGGTCCCATACGACTCTTATCACAATCCGTATATCCATCCATTGTGTCAAGCACATTTGTACATTTGTTGCCATCATCATTCTCAAAACATTTTCTT